TGGAGGGAAGCTGTCAGCACTAAAAACAGAGACATAAATCATAAAAAAAATGCAGTGGTCATCAGTGTTCAATGCATTATACTCTTTAACTATTACTTTTAGCAATAATTATTGAGAAAGAAATTATCTCACTGACAAATGTGGTTGGGGGCCGAAAGTTTTTTTTTTTTATGTACAGTATTTACAGCACCTGCATGAAAGAACGGCTCCTACCATAAAACAACACATTGGAAAACTCTAAAACAAAAATAAATAAATAAATAACCTACATTTATTATTTATTATTACTGCGTGTGTCAAAACAGCTTCTACTTTTAGTGTACATGTTAAAATGTCAAACACCCACATACACACACACACATAAACACTGTACAACCAAAAACCTTTAGAATACAGATAGAGCAAAAATCATAATCAGTCTTAATTTACAGTTCAAAGAGCTAAACATGTAAAGATTTTTAAGTAAATGCCTTTTCTACTCTATACTCCTCTTTACTCCATTCTTTATTCAGCAGCTCAGTCTTGTCCCACAGACCACTAGAAAACTATGGTTTATTTGCAAGAAAAAATACCAGTATTTGTTTCTTTCCATATTCCATATTTCCATATTTGCAAGAAAAAAGAAAAAAAAGAAAAAAGAAGAACAAGAAACCATGATGCCTTAAAATGCAGAATAGTTGTGAAAAAATAAATAAATAATATATACTCTTAGTAGTAGTAGTAGTAGTAGTAGTATGTATTCATATTTGATGAAATATTAATAAAAACTTTGTTTTTTATTATTTTGTAAAATTCATCAAGCAGCCCAGATTGAACAACCTAGATGGCCATTTTTTGGCCGCAGGCTGTATGTTTGCCACCCCTGTTATCAATGGTCAGAATATCAACGTGTGTGCATCTGTACAAGACCATTGTTTCAACTATTATGAGCTTAAAACATTTTGGAGCACCGAGTATTAAAATGTTCCTGTGTAGTTGACAAGCCCGATGAAGATAAAATAAAACTAAAGGGAAAGTACTGTACTTTCATTGATCCCAATTGCAATTAGCCATCACTGTGTTAAAACATTACAGTTTGTAATCATGCAAATAAAATTTGGCACAATTAAACTTGTTGTATTATCAGGTCACCACTCAAATTGTCACCATAGGTTGTTCACACACAGTTACATGTGGGAGGCCGACACCATGCAGTACATGACACTCAATAACTAAGTGAGAGTTAAAATCTATCAGCATGTCCAAAGGTGTCTGCAGCCTCATTTAATTTTTTTCTCTCCTCCTAGTCCCGGTAGACCTATGAGGTCAGCATCAATCAATTTCCTGTCAGTGCCTGTTATTGCCCACTATGAGCTGTAATGAATCCTAATTTAAGCTGTCATCAAGTTAAATCCACCACAAGGCTGGCAGTTGCTGAGTGGCCATGATGTGTCTCTATTTTCCAGCAGGACTTATGTGCTGCAATATAGGACCTGTGTTTTCTAAGGTAGAACAATGACCTAGGTACTTATGAATGATCTTGGTACTTACATATACTATACCAGTGTCTCAAACTATGGTACGCATACCACCAGTGGTACGCGATCGCTCTCTAGTGGTAGGTGGGGAAAATTCATATTTTCACATTTACATTTTGATTAAATTAACAAATCTGAAACATACCATGCACAATTAATACATTTAGAAAAAACGTGTAGCTTCTTGTGCGATTATGAAATAGGATGTCTGGTCTTTTTATTTATTAATTTGTATTTTTTTTATGCAATGCAAGTCTGTTGCTCACGTAAGCAAAGGCAGCACGGAATCATGGGATCACTTGCAAGTTGAACGTGGAACGAGCAGGGGAATTCTAATGTTGGGGTAAATAAATCTGTAATCCCACTGCAGCAGAATGTGAAATGTTTTTATGTCTTCATGAATTTGTCAGTGCAGGTATTATTCATCCCAACACGTGCAACAGAAGTACAAGGTTTGTAAGGTCCACATGGTCAAAGTATTTTGAATGAAAAACGCAAAAGCAGGCTGACATAAATGTAACTGTTACAGTTGAACTGTGAGAATATCACAGTACACAATGATAAAAAATATTTTCTCATAACCTTCTATTGATTCAAAATAGGAGTAAAATACATACGAAATGTACTTGTACTCATACATGGTGTAAAAACGTTTCATCATTTCCAGGATGATCAGCAGATTTTATGTTTTTGTGTTACTGCATTGAAGCAATAATAAAATTAATTTCCAAACTTGGCTTTAAGAACTTTCATCACTCATGGGGAAATTGATTTGTAGTTGTTATACTTCACATATTTATAAAACAGTGGCTTGAAGCTCACTTTCATTTATATAACGAGACGTTATACACTCTAATCCTCTGTTGGGCCAAAGCACTGTTGAGGCAGCATTATCAGTTTGACTATAGAAAAGCGCCACACAGGGTTTGGTACTGAGTTGTCCTTTTCTTAAATAAGAGTGTGCAACGTCCTAATCTATTCTCATTGCTTCTGTCTTCAACCTCCCATCATTATTTCCTTTCATCAGGCTTCACATCAGCTCATGATCTAATCACCTTTCATTATGCCCTGGCTGATAATATATTCTTTCATCAGTCCTAATTATTTCTCTTCACATAATGCATTTAACCCACACTGTTTATCTTACAGGGGTGATTATGCGTGCACCAAGGCTTGCACTATAATCCACAGATATGCTGCTGCGAGTGAAAGTGGTGTTTATCCTGCCAAGCTCTTCTTTACAACGTGGAAAATCCGACAGAAGAACAGCGGATGCTTTGAGCGAGGAGGTAGCTGACGGTTGATGCTAAATGCTAAAACTTTATTTGGCACAGGGGAGATCCCACGGTGTTATATAACAGACGTGGTAAGTGCTATCATGAAACTGCCAAAATCAATTCAGGTGAAGTCGTTGTTATTTGCCCTCTCCTACCCCCTCAGCTGAGTGCATTGCACTTCTTCAGATTTAATGGACAGAAGGTCTTTGGCACCAGCTCCTCTTTAATGCTAAATTACTTTTAGACAGTGAACTGGTTGGGTCTCAGAAATAGGTCTGGCACCCTTCAAAAATTTCTGAGTTCAAGGGCTTTCTAACAACAGTGTTGAGTGAAGAGAGTTTACACACAGCACACTCTCCTTACTCTGTCACTCTGATACTTGCTAACTAGCAGCAGGATGGACTGTGTTTAAATGAAATGACAAGATCTGCATGGAGGCAGATGATCTGAAAAAAGGTGAATTATTTTACACAATAGGATGTGGACTGCTGAGAACCACAGCATTACTCAACCTGGGGCAGAACGTAACTGTTACAACCAGGAAGAAGCAGTAAAATGGTTTGTAAGAACGGTTAGAAAAGCTTTCAATATTAACTCAATAAACCTCCTTTGACTCTTTATACATGTTTACACTTTTACACATTTTTAATCCCATTGTTTAATTAAAAATTAAGATGTAATTTATCATCAAGTACACTACATGTCCTGCCATCTCCCCTGTGACAACAAGGCCAACAACAAGTATCACATCAACTACTAAGTCTGGAGTTGAACCCAGAACTCTGAGGGTCCAATGTACAGTAAAACAGGATGGAAATTTGCCACAATGGGAAAAGCCACAAGCAATATAAAAGTAACAATAAACAAAATAAGAAAAGATAGTAATTACAAATAACAGTTTAATTCAATTATAATTAACAAGAGAATACAATTAAGATAATTGTAAAGAAATTTAACTGCACTACGTATTGAGTGAAGGTGCATGACATTCAAGGTTTGCATTTCATATCAATGAGGGAGCCAGTTTCCATGAAACAGCCAATATGCAGATACTGCTGCTGAATGTGTGACCTCAGAGCCCAGAGGCAATATTACAACAGAAACCAGCTAGGATTGGAATGGATTTCTACCTAACTCGACAATATAAACTGACGAGTAACAGCAATAAGTGGTGAACATTTCAGTTGTGCATTACAGTGTAAACAGTATGTGGAAAAGTATATTGTAAAAGAGAAGACCATGTGACCCAGTAGCAAACCTCCCTCTGTCTTAACTGTGTGGTCTAGAGTGTGTTGCATGTACACTGTCCATATCTAGGTGGCATTATATCAATGTTACAGTAAGCAAAAGTTAAACTGATCCTAAGAATAAAACATAAAATACATTGAAAAAAATATTTTTTTCTGTAAGCTGATAAAACTATCAAAACGAATGTAAATGTAAGACATTGTCATGCAATTTACATCTAGATATGCAACAAAACAGAATTTACCACTGTATTTTAAACCTGTTATATTTTTTATTCTGTTTACATTCTATTCTAAGATCTAAGTTTTCAGTCACACAGCCGATTATCATGAGGTTAATAATGTTAAGTATATATATATGAAAATTAAAAAATGTATGATTCGGATTCCCTAAACAAACAGTTAGTAGGACAATAACTGGAATAAATCTCCCTTACTGCTGAAACTATGTCTCCCATATCTGATTGACAGCTGGACCATTTTTTTAAGGACTATATCAATGTAAAAGAAACCCGTTAGGGTCCATTGGACTTACCTCACCCATGGTAAGGTCGCAGTGCTAGGGTGCTACAGGAGACATCTCCTACACTGTTCTACACCAGAAAATGTTTTGATCATCCAAACAACAGGCTGCAGTTGTGTACTATGTAAACTGTACGATAGAGAAGGAAGTGTAGCTCAGTGATAGTGATCATATACCAAAGCATGTTGTCACTGATGATGACACGGGCCTACGTTGTTTTCATGGGTTTTCTGGCCCATTCAAATTCACCAGCTACAGGACTGGAGTTAATAAATCAATTAGTGCTGGATCTATGAGTGTGGACCTCATGAAACCACGTGTTTACTTAGATTCCCCTGGCAAAACGTCGTCGTTGTTTCTTTTGTTAACCTCCCCTGATGTTGACAGAAGAGTGTTTGTTTGGGTTTTTTTTTTCATCACATGTGTTTTTACTCACAGAATCACTCGCGTTTTTACGCAGCTGATCCTCCTCCCCCATCACTACAGCGGCCGGTTCCACCACCAGTTTCTCAAAGCACGCCGAGCCGAGAGAGGAGCTCTTGTGCTGGTACGTGATCAGCTGGGACATCGGCAGTTTGGGGCTCCCGTGCGCCGTCAGCTCGGGTTTGCTCCCCGAGGTCCCGGAGGCAGCGCTAAGGCTCTGGAGCAGAGGCTGTCCATCTCTGCTTGTTCCCGGAACTGCATCCGACTTCTTGTCACCTTCAAACCGGGCCGGCGTGGAGCACAGATTCGGTTGTGACGACGAAAACACTCTATCCAACTGTTTCTTTTTCCTTTTAAACATCCATAGTCCTGATTCCTTTTTACTGCCCTCTGCGCCCCCGGCGCCGCGACGCTCTGATCCGAGTTTAGGACTGAGCCACGGCTTGGTCCTTTCCTGGAAATTCTTCCACATCCTCCGTTGGTAGGACTCCTGTCCCCTGGTGGTGGTGCTCTCCTCTTTGGGTGATTTCTGCTCCATGGTGCCTGTGCAGCAGCCAGCCAGCCTGAGCTCACTCTGGTATAGTGGATGAATGTCACACACACAGTTGTGGCTCTCGCTCCAGTGATGATGATCACCTAAGTGCGCCAAGAAGGAGACGCGCGGTGTGATGGTGATGATGAAGATGAAGAAGGGGGTGTTAGTCGTACAACGAGCCTGTAGAATCACAGGCAGCACTGTCAGTTTAAATCACACACGCTGTGCAGCAGCAGCATGTAAGCAGTAGCTTCGTCCTGTGCGGATTTATGTCAGGGCTGTGAAGTTGCAATGACTCCAGGGAGATAACCCATAAAAACACTGCTCCTCCTGCTGCCTGCTACCGGTCAGTGTCTGCCTCCCTGCTGTGGCCACTCTGCAAACAAGCTTAGGTGACTTCCTTCATTAATTGTTCCATTTAAATGAAGGGTGAACGGCGCATCGCGCCTCCCTCTGGCCAAACATGTAACTTGCCTGGATAAAATGTGTAAGCTGCTGATTGCATAACGCTGCTCCACAACTGCAGGTTTCCTCAGTCATACTGTCAGTGTACGAGGTAATTTACTGCAAAACTACAGACAGTATGAACAGAATAAACTGTGTTATTCAAAACGCTTCACTTTCTAAACAACATAAAAGCATGCATTTCTTATTGATGCACGTGTGGGGTTTTTTTTTTTCATTTTACATTTAGTGGTCTAATACATAAGGTCTATAATGTTTTACTATTTTTTGTCAACCATGTGCTTAAACCTTGTTTTTTTAAATAAAAAATCAAAACAATGGAAAAAGAGCCATTCATATAAAAATGCATTTCCACCACTTTGACCAAAAGGGGCTTCCGTAATTTATAACAGAATAAATGTGAAAAGACATCAGTTCTGTCACAATTTGTCATCCAAACTCTGTCTTTGACCAGGCTGATTTTTAACCAAACAACTAAAACCACTCCCTGGTGTTAGTTCTATTCTGAATCGGTTTGGTCTGTTCTTGTAGCCACAGAAAACACCCTGCACCCCCGCAGAAGGTCTTAGTAAAACATCAAGTTTTACTAAGACCTTCTGCGGGGATATTGTGTTCTGGTTCCAGTGCTAATGTAGAGCCTTAAATGGCCTTTAGAGCTCTGAAGACTTCTTTAGCACTTTTTATTTCATTGATATTTCTACACACTGTTGCCACAGAATGTCTGGCTATGAAATAGGTCAGGCTTCAGTGAATGTTGTCACCCACATGCAGGGTGACCACACAGTGCTGAGAATCCTCCTCTGTTTTTAGTTGCTGCTGCTGCTGCTGCTGCTGCAGTGTGAGTAATCACTTCCTCCATCCTTCCCCGTGGCCCTGGTTTCTGTGCCGTCATTTCAAGTTACGACGACATTCACCCAGACAATTGCAGACACCAAAAGTAGTAGAAGCTCTGTTTATTTGAGGCTTCAAATTGTAATTATCATCATTTTGAGCTTCAAACAAAATTTCAGAAATATAGAAGTATATAGGCTAATATTTCACGTTTTTGTCTTTCAAATGTACTTTTTTTATGAGTTCTATCATAGAATGTCAAACTCTAAATCTAACTCTTGCTAGGTTTAAATTTAATTCTGAAAAACCCCACATATCTAACGCTGCCAAAATTTAATTATTTTTTCATTCTCGGACTGTAATCTACAGTCACAGAAAATTGAATTATGGAAGGGCTGTCGTTTCTTTTTTAGAACTGCTGATAAGAAATAGACATGGCAGCATTTGTTTAAATCACAGCCTCCACAGTGGAGGAGGCAGACAAAGCCTTTGGTTTTCTGAGCCAATGGCTTCTTCTGCTACATTTATGCCCAGAAGAAAAATAGAAACATGTCAACACAAGCCAGATGAGTCTGAACAATGAAAATGTAATAATTTCTGTGCTAGCAGGAGGTAGGATAGAAGAAGTTTACCTTGGCATGGAGTGTGTATATTTCATTTTATTTATTTTTATGATATTGTCAAAACCTGTCTCCTAATGTAAATGCCTATGGCATCATGCAGAGGAGAATTTGACAATGGGGCCACAGATCACTCATCATCTTCTCTTTTACAGCAGAAAATGGCCAAAATTAGACTATTTACAGTAAATACCAACTTGTGACAGAGAAAAATCAATGCCACAGCAATGAAGTTTCCTCTATACCTATTTTTGCATTGTCTTCCAGGAATCTTTAATTATTCATTTTGCCTGATAGGTAAAAGGTCAATACATTACTAAATTATATAGAATGTTTTTATTGTGTAATAGCATTTTAATAATGGAGATCAACTGAAGATCTCGTGTTTTTAATGTAGGATTTGTTTATCCTTTTGTAGATTTCTGCTAAGTGCAAAATTATGATTAATAAAAACCAAAGTCTGTATAAACACTTGTTTTAATGAGACTCCCATTAACTGTTGACATGGTGGAAATTAGGAAGTGACGACGCCTGATGATTCGTTCATCAGTTACCGGACAGCTTCACATGGCTTCTCCACCCAAGCTCACACATTTGGATTTTTTTTCCCAATCATCCCATTACATAAATTACTTTAATTCCATTCAAGAGGGCTCTAGCAGCCAAGCAATGAATTAACCTGAGCTGCTCTTGCAGTTAAGTGGATGAAAATATAAAAACATGAGCCAGGCTGTTTCTATCAGCTGCTGTTGGCCCCTTTTTTGTGGACTAACTGATGAGTCTGTACTGAGCAGGCATTTCCTCCAAATGATGCAAGTCTGGTTGATAAAAGTCTAATCCACAGTGTTGGTACAGGTGCACACACAGGCATGTTGGAGTTGAGGGATAATTCATAATTGGCATCAACAGGTTTTTATCTTCAATAAACATCTTATCCTGTAAAAGAGCTCAGGTCAGAGTCACACAGTAGCAAAGATGTTGGCATTAAAATATTTTTTGATTAAAAACAACTTTCTCTCGTTGAGGCTAGCATGAAACCACAAAACATTTGATACTGAAAGAAAGATGATAACATGGAGATACAAATATTATCAACTCTGCATCAATACACCTCCACTGATGACACACTGTATCAAACAGTAGTTTGGTGGCTGTTGACCTAAAAATGTATATACTGTATATTTGAATGGAGAAACACTAAAAGCAAAAAGTAATTCAAATCTTTCTTTTCACCAATGACCTCCCTTCTGTGCGGTTAACTCAACAACAACTGCTGCTGGTCTGTGTTGTCAATGGTCAAGAGTGGGCTCGCTCACATACATGACATGGCGGTTCTCCACTATAAAGGTTGACTCACTGCCTTCATGATTAATTCAACCCTAAGAAAAGCTGAATAGTCAGTGGACTGTTACAGTACAGAATCATAAAATATTTTATAGTAGACAACAACCATAACCATTGAATCAAACAGGAATGAGATGCTGTTATTGATTGGGACAATTATCCTTACTTGACTTTCTGGTCACTAAAACAATAATCTATTCTGTCTCTGCCAGTTTCATTCACAAGAACCAGTACTGTGTGGCACAGGCTGTTAAAACAGTTCCTCCTGTATTCATTTTATTATTTCGTCTATTGTTTTTCCCCCTTCTCCCTCAAACAAAGCAGAAATTTTAAATCATTTGATTCATCAGTGATTGCAGTTAATTTACTTTTAAATGTTTCAATTGAACTAGTGAAAGAGATTTTGAGAAGTAAATCTCCCTGAGGCAGCACTTACAGTTCACTTGGTGGCAAAATGTGCTCAGCTACATACATAACACTTTTCTTCATTTTCACACAAAAACTGACAACTGGAAGCTCATTTATCAACGACATGACTGCAAACCACTGTAAGTACAGTTTCTCCAGAGTAGACAAACTGTAAGAGCCCAGAAATGGTGCAGTTAAAATGCAACCTCCAGAGTAAAATAGACCACAAAGTCTTTTTTTTTTGTTGTTGTTGTTTTAATTATTATTATTTTCATAATCTTTTTTATGTATTTATCTATAACTTACAACTTATTACTTATAACTTATCGATAACATGTTTTTTTGTTGTTTGTTTTTTATACCATGTTTGGACTTAATTAAATTGAGCCACCGTTTCTGTAAAATAACAGGCTTATCCTTGTTTAACATGCATGTAAGTGTGTGAGTTCTGTGCCTTTACCTGTTTCATGTAACCATGGTAACCAACAGTTTAGCTGTTACAGAAAAATGGCTCCCGGGAAACCAACTGCAATCTAAGGGAAGGGTTTGGTTTAAAAAATGGGAAATTAGTAAACTTAATGGTAAAGGAGAAACAATAAAGTCTGAGAATAAGTGTTTGTAAAAAGTAATATAAAATGTGGAACTGGTGGAAGGATCCCTGGACAGGTCATGTGAATAACTTACAGAAGATGACATCATGCCGTCAAATGTATCTGACCGTTACTTGCAGATACAAAGGACAAACCACCCAAAGCATGGGCTTCATGCCGAGTCACTAAGTTGTTCCCTGGCATCCTTTGAAGAGAAAAATGTGGTCAGAGGAGTTTTCAGTTCATTAAAACCTGCAGTCTCACCCTCACATGTCATTAATTCTACATCACTATGTTAAAAATGAATGCCCCCCTTACAAGTCAGCAGATATGGTGGTTTGTTGAGCAAAGCTGCTTAATGATACACTGTAGAGCACGTCATCCTTCTCATATTACTATTAAGAGTGACTCATTGACAAATTGAGTTGGGACGCAAACAGACGCAACTTAAGGTGACTACAGTTACCAGGTGACATGAAAACACCAACACTGAACAGTTAACAAGTGACGACAGAAGAAAATCTCACAGAGCTGTAAGTATTCTAAAAAGGAAATGACAAAATACTCTATTACAAAAGTTGAAGACTTTCACTGTTTCTGAGTAGAAATAATTCAGCTTTTTTTCCCTATTTAGAACCAAATAATGTCACATGACTCCAAGTTACGGCTTCATCAGAACAACAAGAGGTAACTTTTTACTCTATTTATATATATATATATATAAATATATATATATATATTAAAAATATATATACGATTTTATGCAACACGCAGTCTGAGTGTTAACACATAGTTTTTTCAAAGCTTTATCAGATAAACAAAGGTAAATTAGAGGACACTGCTGTGAGTCACACTGATCAAATTAACCCCTTATTCACAATAGCATCAGTTAGACTGCAGCAGCACACATGAGGACAGTGCAGGAGGAGAAAAAGTTTGAGAATGCCTGATGGAAAGAAACCCACATTGCCTCATTGTCTTTGTTTCCCTCCTCTGTGAGTGAACTATACTAATGTTTTCTTTTTGCCACAGAGCTATAAAATGCCATCTTGACTTTGCATAATTTGCAGCACTTTTTTTCTGGCTGATCATAATCAATAAAATAGACCATAATAATGACTCAGAGATTGGTATCTCCCTGATGTAGGTCAGATGACTCGGGGGCTCGAGTGGGCAGCCAAGAGAAGACACTGGCTGTGCTGCTGGAGCAAGCCTTCAGAATCACAGAGGAGGTGGCCACAGGACTACAGTCCAGCAAGGGCTCCATCCAGGTGGAGGCACTCTCTCGGAAACTGCTGGAGAGTCACATTCTGACAGTCACTCATATTGTCAGGCAACTCAGTGTGGGCATACAGGTATGCACATAAATGGAGGATGATGGTCAGGAGACCTGAAGTTTGCTTTGGCAGCATTTGTTTGTTGTGCATCACTACTGACTGGCTTACACTTAGTGGGGGGGGGGGGGGGGGGGAAGCAAATGTAGCACAGTCCAATGCATGGTGTACAACTGGTGAATGTAAACAAAGCCACCTTCTGGGTATAGCACCGCATGATGACAGATTTGTCCACTACGCTCATAAACTAGTTCCACTGCAAAGAAGTAGGTGAATTTTAATGTCATACGCTGAATGCAACAAGATGTTCTTAATACATTTATGGGATGTAACCATGAAACGACGTAGAAAACAATATGTGTTTTAACTTCAACAAAAATTGAAATTGTGGTTTGTTGACACCGACAGAAAGGTTGACATTTCTGCACTGTTACATAAATGCCTGAAATTTAATTCTGCAAATTAAGTATTAATGAATTTGGCTGTGATCATCATTATCTCAGGTGAATGCATCTTGGGTAATTTGGCCCTCTACAGGGAAGCCTTCAATTACCACATATTGAATCAAAGTCCAAAAATAGTTACTTTGATGGCAACTGGACGGAAAAGCTTTCTTGAAGACGTTTCACCTCTCATTCAAGAGGCTTCTTCAGTTCTAACTGACTACTGGGAAATTGTGGTATTTAGCCTCAAAGACAGATATGAAGGATTTCTTACAAATGATGTGAACTTTAAAAAAAAGTATATGTTATCATTTTAAGAAAAGTAATCAAACACTTTCTGGTTTAAATAATAAAGTGGAGTAATGGGCTGACAAAAGTCATGTGACCCCTGAGAATAACACTGAGTGAATTGCTGCCACAACAATACTGGGCTGTCCTAGACAGTAGAATCATGTGCTTCAAAGGTGTGTTTATTTATTATCCATATTTAACAGCCACTTCTATACTCACACTTTATACTTACAAAAAATACTGTTTTTATATATTTGCTCATCTACATATATTACTTAGATTTCAAATAATAAAAAAATATGTTGCTTTAATGTCTCTGTTCTGTGCAGGCACTAGAGAGACATATGTCTCAGAGGGACTCAGTCAGTTCTGGGACAGCACTAGCTGTTCAAAGCTTAGACCAGAAAAACCTGGCTGGGATCGGAGACCTAAGAGGACGTGTGTCCAGGTAAGTGAGTCAGCTATCTGGATCCTAAGATAAAGGGTGTGAGACTGGGATTAGTTTTAGAATGTGGTGTTGTTTTGTGAATTTCTTATTTTACTGAAGTTAAAAAGGGCTGTTGTGGTACTGGAAAAAGGGGAATATTGACTTTTAGTGACCAAACAAACAGCTGATATATGGGGTAATAAAAGTGACCTACTTACTCTAATGACACATCTGCCGTGTAATCTGTTAAACTGAGCCTGAAACGTTTGTCTGTGCAGCCTTATATTGTTGCTCTATACCAGAATTTACACTCCTAAAGATTTCACTGAGCTTAAACCGTCACAATTATAACATAACAAACATTTTATATATAAATATATATAAAATGGGCTGGATTACCATCTTTGCAGAGCAAACATTTATTAGTTTAAATGCTTTTTTGTTAGTGGCTTTTGGATTTTTGACATTCTCAAAAAATCCAATCCAGGTTCCAATCCACTCAGTCCCTAAGATTCCAACCTAAGGTTCCAAACTTGTGATGCTAAGATTTATCAAAACTGCTCTATGTGTTTAGATGACTAAGTAAGATTGAATATTATCACCATGATGACATTATAAAATATAAAAAATAAAAACGTTATCCAATGCAATATCAGGAAATAAATGAGCAAAAACAAACTCAACTTGCTTTTTATGTAATGTTTGGAAAAATGACAGTTTCTCTAAAGTGCATTACTGTAAATATAACTACAGCTGCAATCTGAATCTAAATGGACATGTAGACATGTCATTAATGTGAACAGATGAATAAAAATAACTGCACTGCCACTCTAAGATAGCAGGCTGTGAAGTTGTTTTATCACACTGTTCAAAAAAAGACATTTCTAAGTTATGAAGTTTTTATTTTTAAGTTAAGCATAGAAAGATAAAAAAGATATAGAAAGGATGAATCAGGCATAAAACATGTCACTATTGCTAGAGGTGTGAGAATTAAAATTGAGGAAAAGGTAAAATTGACTATTTTCCTTTAATAAAATGCAATTATACTGTTAAAATGACAAGTTCTAAATACACAGATCCAGCTCCCATTACTGCAGCTCTGCATGGAAAGTATTGACAAGATCTGTTTTTGTTTTCCATCTTGCTCCCTTGTCTTTTGCCAACGTACTACTACATGCTTAAGTACTATTACTCACCCTCCCTCCAGGTCTGTCCTTAAACCCTTCATGCTCCTCTGTCCTCATCAGTGGTACCTCACTTTTACTCCCTCCTCTGACCTACTACTACCACAGGTGTGATGACAGCCTTGCCAAGCTGAGTGTTGACATCAGTGCTGCAGAGCAGCGTATGATTGCACTGCAGCAGGAAATGAGAGACCTCAGATTGGTGGTGGACACAAAGCTACAAGATCTGGATGTCAAGGTCAGAGACAATTCAATGCTGCTGACAAATGGATCGGGAAGAGCGATGTAAGTTATGCCAATAGGTTTGACCACAAAACAGATAAATACTGGAATAAAAAGGGAGAAAAACATCACAAAATAAAAATGATGCTATTTTGGCTTAACTGAAAGAATTACTGACTTTTATTATCAGTGGAGATTTGATAAAAAAAAAGAATGTTCTCCTTACACTGCTCCAATAATTATTCACATTAGAAAACAATGTCAAAACCTGGTAACCATCTGAATGTGACTAAATGAATTTCTACCAGACTGAAAATGTGACCAAAGTCATTAAGGATGCATGACTCAGCATTATCAAACATAATCTGGCATAGAGTCCAAAACTGAAGCCCACTAAAAATACTGCTGATGAGCTGCAGAAGACTTCACAGAGCAATCTGACTTTTCCATCATTGTTATAAAAGCTTAGCCAAGAAAAAAGTATTGCAACTGTGTATGAAAATAAATGTTTTCACATGGAAAAAGGCTTTTATAATGCTGACTCAGTGAATATACAGTTTGATGTAATCAATGCTAATGGAATATTAAACTGGCTTTTGTAAAACAATGCTTTGCCAAGTTCAGTATAACAATTCTTAGGGTTATCATCCATGGCTGAATCCTTCTCAGGGTCACAGTCTATCATAGAGACACTCAACCATTAACACTCCTATAACCACAGTGAATTCAGACTGTCTGGGTAATCTGATCCTGCAAGTTTTATAGAAGTAAACTGAGTACTCAGAGAAAAATACTTTCATACTCAGAAAACTTTCGAACCAGAGGCAGAATTGCCATCATTTGCTAATCAGGACTCAAACTGCTTCCTACAAGGCTTGCACAGACTATATATTTTTAAAAAAGGGTTATACCATTAGATAAACATAAATATATATGCGTGTAAGTCAAATTGTAAATTGTATTTACAATTACTAGTCCTGTCAAAATAAACACGTTAACCACAACAATGATCCATGAAGTTACATAAAAACTTCAAAGCATTCAATGCATGCGCAAAATGTATAGCTAATAATTCTAACGTCTAATTATTGTTGCTTTACTACATAGTCTTCTTTTTCTTTCGGCTTTGTCCCTTTTTCAGGGGTTGCCACAGTGAATCATTGTTTTCCATCTCTCCCTGTTCTCTGTATCTTCTACTCTGACTCCAACTATCTGCATGTCCTCCCTCACTGCATCCATATATCTCCTCTTTGGTCTTCCTCTCTTTCTCCTACCT